ACAAAATTATATTGATTACACTAAACATATAATTATACTTTTATTATATGGGTTGCTCATTTACTAGGACTATTTAAATTATCAGTAAAAAACTTTATATATTTTGATTAATTTAATTTCTTATGTTAATTAAAGTAATAAGTTTTAAGATAGAATAATCTTTTGAACAGGATTCTTGTTATTGTTAATAATAGTATAATGTAAAGCATTATAACTTTTTAAATATGTAAAAGAAAATAGATAACTATGTTACTACCAAGGTTTAGATAATACGATACAGTATTTAATAATTATTACGGAATACAGGTAATACAATAAATTTGTTTTAGGCACCATAGATTTCAAATACAAAATGGCAGGTATGTAACATATTTTAAAAAATTTTAGAAAATAAAATAAGTGAACATTTATGGTTATTTAAATTTTAATTAAAATACTTATATTAGCCTATAGCCTAGCCTTAGACAGCCTAGTAAGTGACCTTGATATTTTAACTTATATGTTGATACTATTCTATATTTAGAAAGCACATTATAGCATATATTATGTACTTTTAACACTATAAAGTCTGACCCCTTGATTTTTACAATGAAATAAAATTTAACATTATACAAGGTATCTTCAAAAATTTATAAAATAATAGATACCAATACTAACAAGATAAAAAAGATTTTAAAAAACTGTAATCAAAACATTTGTTATTTACACCATTTTATAAATACCTACACAAGTTTAAATTTGTACACACTTTTAATAAAAATAAACAAGTAAGATATTACAAAATTTGTTATTTTGCAAAAATATTAAAGTTTGAAAATTATTGATAGGTATTTAATTATGATTAATTTATATTTACACTTTTATTTTGAAGTAAAATCTGTTTTAGTATTACAGAAATAATATATTAATACATTTTTTTTTAGAGAAATCTATATACTAAATATCATACCAATTATGAATTTCAAATGTTTGTTTAATTCTAATTAGATTAACATTTATTATTTTCAATTTGACTACATAGCAAAGCATAATATCTCAGCAAAATTTTAAGTAATATGTGCAAATTAAACTATATATTAGCTTATTTTTTGTTTCCATATGACCATATATCTATTTACATTATAAAATTATGATACTTACAGTAAACTCGCCAGTATGTGCATCAAATCCTACATGCATGGTATGTTCAAAATTAGTTGGATAAGATATTTCTGGTTTATCTTCAGATCCAGTACCCCGTGTTTTTAGTTTACCAGTAACACGGCTTTTAGAAGTTTTCTTTTTGTGGTCTGAATCTGGTTCTTTAGGTAGGGGTCGCATAATATCCAAGTTTGGTACCGAATCCCCACGGGCAACTCTAAAACTGTTATACATCATTGTAGAATTTAAAAATTAAAATAATACATTTTATCATTGTAGATACCTGTTACTGGTAAGACGGACCGGAGGAGCTGGTGGCTTGTCATCATCATCTGACATTTTTATATATTATGTAAAAAAAAATGACTAGGTACTAACTGATTGGCATTAAATTGTACTAAAACAATAGACAAAAAAAAAAAAAATTACATAATATTTTGGTGAAAAACATAATTAGTCTCCACTAATATTTATTTTTTAAATATTTATTGTTTCTGACTCCACCTAAATAAACATTAACTATTCACTATTTTTAGATTACCTTAAACATGAAAATACTTGGGTCCATAGGTGTGTAAAAAATGTAAAATAATCATTTAAAGAATCATAATCAACCATGTTCTGTCGTAATTGTGTATTTAAAACTATTTAAATCTAACATAAATGAAAATTAAAAGTTATTATCTAGTTAAAACAAATAATAGGAAGCAATGTAAAAACGAAATAAATATCACATCCTGTAAAGATTGCTGAATACTGATGAGTGATCCTATATAATACCCAAGATTCATTATCGCAAAAAAATCATATCATAATTCTTGTGTTTCGTTGGTTACACTGAACTGTGGTAGATGCAAAGATGTTTTACAATTGGGCGCCAAATTTAATTTAATTTTTGCTTCAAAGAATGTCTACAAAATAAAACTGTTATTACTTATTAGATAATAAATATTATAATATTATTTTAATAAGATAAAATCAAAATGTATTTGTTGTTATAAAATACTTTAAATATGAATAATAATAATAATAAACTCATTAGAGCAAATAAATATGAAATCTATAGATATATTTATGTTATTATAATTATATATATTTTTAGGTAGATAATGTGTAAACTATAACCCGAATTAAAAAATAATAGTAATAAACCGGATCCATATTATTGGTTATTTTTATAAAAACTGAATATTGAGATTACTTTTGGATTCAAATTGAAATGGATTTCATATTTTACAACAAGTCAACTAAGAGGTACCTACTACTTAGTTCAAAATATCTACATTTTAGTTATACCATAGTATAATTATATATATTGTAAATTAGATTATTTCACACCTATTATCTTATTAATTATAGTCAAATATCCTAAAACTAGTTAGTAAATACAAAATAGATATCTGATATAGTAATAGACAATAGTTCTGGAATACTTAAATTCTAAATATCAATTTAATGTTCACATAAAATCTTTATAAAAAATATTTCTATTTAAAATAAATAACACAATATTGATAAAATACATTTATATATATTAATTCAATCTTTACATAAGTTCCTAGATTATTTTTTTTTTTATTATTTTTAAATAACAAGTACAATTTAGTTTTTAAACATTTTTTATAAATAATTTTAACAGAAAAATCGAATAAATAAAATATTATTTTTGCATCAGAATTAATACTTGGAATACATACTCTTTTAATATATATTTACTGATCAGTATTCATGTATTGAAAATTATCTTTTTTCAATTTATCAACATGTTTTTGAAACATTAAACATATTTTTTCACTTTGGTGTAATTCTTCTTTCCTATTAAATAAAATTTGAAAAATCTATACTTTTAAAATGTGATAGGTATATTAAATTTTATGAAAATTAACAAAAATATTTTTAAGAAAAAATGTTCTAACATTGATAATAAAGAAAATTAATGCCTATTTTCTTTTTTTAATTTCTTTGAATATTATTTTAATTTCTAGTCCTTAATTTTTAGTAAACCATCCTATAATATATAGAACTAAATGTAAAAAAAAAAAAATGATAGAAATTTAGATGCTATATAATTATAGTCAAAGTAGTTAGCAGTATATAGCATAAAATAACTCTATTATTAGCCCATTATTAAAACTTATAAAGATTATAACTAAAATTCAAAATTTACAAATTTCATTTTCATATCAAAATAAATACAAATTCATAAAATTTGTCACTTGTTATTTCCTCACATGGTTCAATATGATGTTATAAAGATTAATAATATACTTTATAACCAATAAAAATAATACTAAACAAAATTAATCATGAATAATGATTTAATTTGAATTTTTTATTTACGTGATTAAATTTAAAAGCTATGTCTTTCCATAGCTCAAAGTTGTAATCATATTAATATCAATTTAAATCTACATATCCTTGAGTGAGTAAAAACAAGTTTAATAAATATTCATCAATTTTAAACTACAAGTGGAATCTGTTAATTATAGGTGTTTACTATTTACTCAATACCTACCTACAATATAGTAGTTAGCTTTCTTTAATTTATTAACACAATTCAATTGAGTTTTTAATATATATTTTACTAGTATGATCTTTAAAAATATTAAATTAAATATAATTAATAATTTCTTACCTTTTTTCTTTAAACACTTGATATTCTGATTGAAATTTTTTCTCAAAATTTGTTAATTCCGTTTTATGATTGATATTAAGTTGATCTATTTCCATTTTAGAGAGTCTTAATTGATTATCTTTTTCACTGAGATTAGTTTTTAAAATATCTACTTCCTTGGCTAATCTATCAGTGTTTAGTTGTGCATTCATTGTTTGAGTAGCTTTATTATATAGTTGTGTTTTGTTTAACTTTGTCAATTCATCTTTAGCTAATATCAAATTGTTTTGAAGTACTCTCACTTTCTCAGTAGCTTCAACAGAATATGTTTCTGCTTCTGCTAATTTAATTTCTAAATCTGTCTTTTCTTTATGTAAAGTCTTTATCTTAGTGTTTAAAAAAAGTAACACATTTGTCTAGAATAAATCAAAATTAAACATAGTTTAAAATAAATAAATAGGTACAAATGTATAGGTACAACCTGTTTATCATAAATATTTATTTCTTCTTCTTGTCTAATTAAATTGTTCATATTTATTTCATTACTAATTTTATTTAATATCTTAATATGATACACATTTGTAACAAGTAACTTTTTAATAGCTATTAATTCATCTAAAAACAAAATTTATTTATCATTATTTTTTTATGTAAGTAGATAACTATTGTAATTTATAACCAAAATAATCTTTTATGTTTAATTCTGTTGAAGATTTAAAATTTTCCCATTCTCCTTTTAATGTCTTTAGTTCATATTTCAACTTTGGTATAGCTTCTATTAATAGTTGAAATTCTTCTTTTTCTTGTAAAATTTTAATAGTACAGTTTTTTTTTATTTTTGATATAATATAAAATATTTTATCTAAGTCCTAAATAAAAAAATATAATTTTATTAATATTATTATTTTTTTTTTGTGATGTCTAAAATTCTAAAAACCTCTAAATAGTTCATGTTTTCCAGATCAGAATTTGGAATTTCATTGCTTATTTTTTTTATAAGTGAATTTAAACTTTGTTTATTAAAAGTTTCTTCTGATTTTATCTTCTTAACCTGGTTTGAAATAAGTATATAATTTTCTTGGTCTTTTAAACTTTTTTTTTTTAATTCTTCAAGTTCTTGTTTTTGTTCTTGATTTTTTAATTGAAGAAGTTGTAGTTTTGATTGTAGTTCACTTTAAATATTTTATAATGCTTTAATAAGTTTTGCTAATTTTAATAACAAATATGTAATTAAATAGACATAATATTACTCGACACGATTTTGATATTGATTGTCAAGAATATTCAATTGTGTTTGGTAATTTTTATTAACATGTTCAAGGATATTTAAGTTACCAACTTCAACTTCTTTTTGGTTAATTTTACATGATTTATTCTGTTTTAGTTTTTTGGCTATAAATAAAATAATTATAATTGTAATAATTATTACAAAAAATGTATAAATGAAACATGATCAATAGTGTTAAAAAAAAAGTAAATAATTTATTATACATTAAATACACATTAAAATCAATAACTAATTTTTATAAATACAAGTCAACTTAAAAAAAAATATTTAATTTAATTTATAAATAAATAAAATATACATATTTTGAAGTAGACAACATTTCTAGAATATAAATACTTAAGATTCAAAGAAAAATCAAAAAAATAACAAATTTATTAGATTGTTTTAAATGTGTATTATTATTAATGTTATTAGAGTAAGGATTTTAAAATTGTCATATAGACCACATAGCACAATTAAAAATTAAAAATGTATGTATTATTCTAAGCTTAAGGTAAAACTATTAATAAACTACAAACAATAATAAATTTGTTAAAAATGTATTTAAAATGCATTGCTTTTATTTTTGACATACCTATCATAGTGGACATTTCTATAGATACAGAATTTCCTTGAATATTTAATTCTAAAAGAATTTCATTGTTTTTTAATGATTTCATTAATAATTCTGCTCCTGTTTCACCTAGACAATTCCAACTTAAATCTGAAATTATCAAACTTAGTATTAAAATTTAAAAGTAAAAATATAGGTTCAATTATGTGTTGTTAACATGATAACTTTGTCTATGTAAGCTATTAGTCATATAAAAGTTTATAAAAACGAATATTTAATAATCATAATTATTAGCAATATATCAATACAACATAATAAAATACAATTTATGTTTTTATAACATGTAATCTTAATTTTAACCATTTTTTTTAAAAATATTAATAAATTTCAAAGCCTCTAAGATATTATAATGTATCTTGTATATATATATATATATATATATATATATATATACATATTATATTAATTCAAGAAATGTGATTATATTTACCGATATTCTTTAAGCATTTATTTATGTTTAACATACTAGCTAAATAAAATCCGCATGCTTGACACAGGTTATTATTTGCTAAAATTAAGGTATTTAATACTGTATTTGACATTAAACTATGACAAAATTGGGAAAATGTATCAACTGAATCACCAATGTTATTCCAATCCAATCGTAGTCTTAAAATATTATAAACAATACATTTGTGCATAATAAATTAAGTTTATAAAATCAAAATTTAACAAGTAACATACTCTGTAATATTAGTATTATTTAATAATGTTTTAGAAATATATGTTGTTAGATTATTTCCAATTTGATTTCCTTTTAAATTTAGTATTTTTAAATTTGTTAAATAATTGACCAAATTTAAAAAGTTTTTCAACCCATCAGCTGGTAGTAGACAATCAGACAAATTCAAAATATTAATAGTGGGTTCATATTTTAAAGTTTCAGCTATTAACGAACAAGAATGTTCTGTAATTGTAGTACTTTTCAAATTGAATTCACCATAAACACTAAAATCAAAATTAATAAAATAAACAATCATTTTTTTCTATTATCATTAAAATTACCTTGCATTGTATAAACATGATGTAATAAATTCATTGGGTATTACTTTGTTTTTTAAACATAATTTTCGATAAATATTGCAAATACTTATATCCATAATAATATGTTATGATTTATATTTCATAGAAATGTAAGTTCAATGATAAGTTAAAAAATGTTTTTGAATAGTTTACATATAAAATATACACTATAGTACAATTTCTATACAGCGGAAAGTCAATGTTTTAACAAATACATAAAATTAATTATTATTTATTAATAATTTATAAATTATAATAATTAAAAATCAATGAAAAAAACAAATTTGGAAAATCGTTTTTTATTTTTAAAACGATAACGGCAATCAGTATTTAGCTGTGGTCATAGAATAAATAGAATTCTGTGGTGGACGGTGGTATTTACCAATATTTATTTGTTATCTGTTTTGTAATCAGACTTTTAAAAGCAATGATCATTGATAAAGCATAAATATTAAATATATTTGTATTATTTGTAATTCGTGAAACTATTATGTTATTCAATATCAAATATCAATAGGTATTCATTAATCATTATTGTTATTCTTCTATTTATTTAACATGAATACCTACACTTTTAGTTTAAATATCAAGCTTCTCAATATTTCTATAATTTAGATATTTATAGTTTAATATATTATTATCAAAAATAATTGTGGGTTATTAGTTTTTATTTCAAAAATGCCCACTATACTCGAAGGTGGTCCTGAATACAATAAACTTATATTTAATTATGATCGTAGTTGGACTGATGATTTGCCAGTTTGTAAAGTATCAGGTATGCAGAAAATAAATACAATATTTTTGACAACAATTCTGTAAAACAGTTTAAATATAAAAGTATGTCTTAGGTGTAGGATACTTGACACGTCAAAGATATGACGAATTAGGTCAACGCAGAGAAGAACTGGAATCCGAAGACATTAGTCTTCGATGCTGTTATGATGATGCAGGTGTTGTATGGTTGTACGGACTTTTTAATGGTCATAATGGGGCAGATGCAGCTCGGTTTGCTCGAGATCGTATTGCTGCAGAAGTTTTACTAGGTCAATTGCCTACTACAGAAATAGACCAAACTACTAAAGAAATAATTCAGTAAGCAATTAACATTAATATCATTAACATTTATTTAAATACTTTTTAAAGAATTTTTATAAAATTATAGACAAAGTTTTCTTTCTGTTGAGGGAACTTATCTTGAAACTATTGATAATAAATTACTTCAAAGAGCAAGTCTATTACTTCAACTTCCTGAAGGGATATCGCATTACGATGCTTATCAACAATATCCTCAAATTGTAAATTTTATCCTGATAATATTCAATATTATTCATTGTAAGTCTTAGAAGTAAAAACAGATTTTTTTTTCAGATTGAAAAATTAAAAGAACTAGAAGAAGAATTATCATGTGGTACTGGGGCATCCATAGCAATACTAAAAAATGATCGTTTATATGTTGCTAACGTTGGGGAAAGTCGCGTACTGTTATGTAAAACTGATAAAGATGACGTGTTGAGAGTGATACAGCCAACAGTTGATCATAACTTGACAAATTTAGATGAAGTAATGAGGCTAACAAATCTTGGACTCAAAATAGCTGATGGAAAGATCAATGGTTGGATCATTTAAATGAATAGCTAAGAATATGCACAAATTGATAAAACTGTTTAGGTAATAGAACTATTGGAAATCAATCATCGACAAGATGTTTATGTAATTACATGATAAAAGGTGCTTACAAAGACTATGAAGAACTAAGTGCAGCTTCAGCTGAACCAATTATAGCTGAGCCACATATTGTTGGGGGTATTTCTATTGATTCATCGTACAGGTAGAATATTTCAGTAGTTTTTAAAATAAGCAAATTAAAAAAATATTAAATTTACAGATTTATGATGATTGCTTCTCCGGGTCTCCTGAAAACTTTAGAAGCTGCAACAGGCACTAATCAAGTGAACAAGGAATTAGCATTATTAGTAGTTGAACAAGTAAACACATTAATTTGATCCAGCATCCAATATAATTATTGTATAAAATATATTTACTTAAATTTTCTTTTACCTCTTAAGTTACGAGTACAATCTACATTAACTGGCGTTGCTCAAGCTGTTGTAGATCATATAGCTAGAATATATCATGATACTTATGAAGCACAAGATAATGCTACTGGAATTACTCGTCCAAATATTATGTTAATGATACGTAATTTCAATTTTGCAATGCCTAATGCAATCACTGAACAACAACATAGCTGGAATGGCTCATATGATCAAGGTTGAAATTAAATATGTAAGCTATATAAGTTATTTGCACGAAATTGTTTTTTTCAGATACAGCTATTAACTTGACTGAAACTACAACATCCACTTCAACCGATCCATCTAGTGGTTCAATCAAGGCTATATTGCCATATGTTGATTTCAGTGAATTTAACTCAAATGTTGATAAAGCTAAAGCACAAGGCACGCTCCCTTCAAATATCAATTTTTTCTATGATTAGATCAAATATTATTTAAATTTATTTTTAGTTCAATATCTAAATAGCAACATAATTGTTATTATATAGTTAAATTTTATTTTTGTATGCTGTTCCTAACTTAAACCAATATTTAAATTTATGTATTCGTTTTTTATTTTTTTATTTATTTGCATACAAATGAAAGCAAAATATAGAATTTTATTTAACTGCTAAAAATAAATATCCATTTAAACACCTAATATTATGTATAGATTTTAAATTTATGAAGAGTTTATTCAATCTGTAAAAAAAAAAAAACAATAAATAACAAGCATATTTAATAGATATTATATAATATTATGACAATAGAAACAGTCATTTTCAGCTAGATTATTTGTTGTTTAATTTATATATAAATGCACCATCTTAAAATAAAATTTTAAAAAGTTTCATTTGTAAGTGGGAATAAAGTAAAACTTTTTTATTTTAAATTAGTACACACTGCAATACTGCATAGACAATATTTCATAATTTTATACCTGTTTTATTTTATTATAGGATAAAATTTCACATAGAAAATGCAATATAATTTGTAGTGTCCAATTATCACAATCTTATATAATTTAATATTAATAAACTCTGTTAGCCACCTAGCTGTATTAATAAAAGTTATAATAAATACAATATTCTAAAAATCATTATGTTGGCATGATGTACATATATTATTTTAATAGAATACATTTAAGACTAGTTAATTAAATTGGGAACTTAGGATACCTATATTGTTTCATTTAATAGTTATTGTTATAATATTATATTCTATTAATAAAAACTACCTTCTATTTTTTATGTGTCATGTAGACAATGTTCAAAAACTAAAAATTCAATTTTGAAATTAAATACTTTCATAACAATTGAACAAAATTTAATATAGTGTATTTATAATTTTGTTTAAATAAAAATTGGAACATTTTAAGCATGTGTGGATGTGAAGGAAAATGTACATAAGAACCAGTCTATGCTGTATTTCTGTGATTCTCATATCATGTTAATTAATATTTATTAGTTCTTTTACCATTGTGTTATCATATTATTTCAAAAGTTAAAATTATAATATTAAAACCTTTAAAATTTGTTTTATGGAATCAAAAATAAAAATATTGAAATATTTTTCAAAAACAAAAAATTGTTATCATAAAGAAATTGAAAATATGAGTGTATATTATTAAGGTAAAAATGTAAAGAATCAATTGATACTTTAATATTATAACATAATACTTTATAACACAAATGTTTTTATATTTTATTTGAATAAATGTATTCTTTATGTGAAAATAACTTATAAATATAAATCATTTATTAAATTAAGCTGAGTAATAGATTGTTAGATATTAATATATTATAAATTTATAACGTATCCTTTTTATGTGTATATTACCATATTTGCAGTTTACATTTTGGAGAAGTGAAAATATTTTTTTATGTAAATTGTGGGAAAATCTTAATTCCTAATTATTTCATTGAAACTTAATATTAAGCTTTGAGTTTTTATTTAATATGAAGTGAAGAACTTTTGTTCTAGATTTAAAAATAAATTGTTTGGTATTAATAAGAAGTTTCAGGTAAAGTGTTGATTGTGAATTAGTATAAGTGATACAAAAAAATGAATTATACATTGAACAATATTTTAATAAATAATTTGTATTTGTTTTAAAAAATGCTTTAGGTAAATTATTAACAAGTTATAATATATACAAATATGTTATTTATGTTACTGAAAATAAATAATTATATCGTTGATGTAAATAATGTATACAAGTATTTGAATTATTTATCATCCTCGCTATCTTCTTCTGGTTTTTTAGAAGTTTTATATTCTAATACTGTAATTTCTTTCTCTAACGCATCAAATGCCACTGAAAATTTTAACATAACCTGTTCATACCTAAATTAATCACACAAAAACAAACATACAATTAAACTTAGTTGAAAATTTTAAATAGTTATGAATGTTAGGTATAGGTAATATTTTTCATTTCACCTGAATAATAATGTATTTATATGTTCAGTTTGTTTTTTAATTAATTCATGTTGTTTTCGTTCGTTCTCAACCAATCTTTCAATTTCTTCAGTATGCTTGTCTATTTCGCTATAATACTTATCATTTAGAGCAGGCCATTTTTCATTAAGCTGTTGGAGTTGTTGAGCATATTTAACTATTTCAGCTTCAGCAGAAAGTATAACTTCTCGTTTAGATAATTCAGTTTGATAGTCTTCATAAAAAGGATCCATCAATTTGTCCAAAAGCTTTACATGACTGAGTAATGCAGTAGCATATGGATGACCAATACATGCATTACCAATACTATTGTCAACTTGTTTGACTTCTTCCAGAAGGTTACCACTTGGCAGAGAAGTTGATGTATCTTTGTTGGTACCATATACTTTCAGTTCTAAAGCAGAAACCAATTTTTCTAAAATTGAAACTTTGTCACCTTCCATATTCTGAAATTTCTTTAAATAATAAAATATAAATATAATATTTTATAACACTAGTCTAATTACCATTTCAACAATTTATATTAAAAACCACTGTTGATGTTAACTTAATACAAAATTATGTAAGATTCTTGTAAGGTGTAAATGTTTATTTTATTAAAAGTTAAAGACATATTGCATAATAGACTTTTTTATAGCAGTATTGAGAATTAAGAAAGTCTTATTTATTATTTAGTACAGAATAATAATAGGAATGTTAAAATAACTATTAGTTATTCGACCTAACCAAATGCAATAATATAATCAATATCAACACGTATAGTGATGTTGTTTAAAAGTTAAAATAAATGAAAATATATGTTGTGGGACAGTTTTAAAAGTTGATGAATAGCAATTCAAATACCATAAAAGCAGTATGCCATCATGAATTCATGACAATGTACAACTAAACACTAAACACCATTTAAGGTGACATAATATCAGCGATGGAAAATAAACCGCCGTTTATTAATAACAACAATAATTGTTTATTTACTTTTCAACGCTCTATCGACTACGTCAACTGGAAATGTCGACGTTCCGCGACAAAGATTAAAAAGCACCTTCAGAGTATTCGAACGGCCACGGTTGTGTCTACAAACTACAATGCATAGCAGTGTTCGGAACTACGGAGACTTCGAAAACGAAACGCGTACGACATATAATTTTTATATATATTATATATAAATAAATGACACAGTAGATAGTAGTTATTATTTGTAAAAATTTATTAATGTTCCGAACGTTTGGGATTCGGAATATTCGGATACATCATCTGATAACAGTGATCACGACTCGTCGCTTATCGCCGTCCGTCGGTTTCGCGGTTAACCGTACAACCATCGGCTAACCGTAACCGCGGCCCGTGCTCGTCGGCAGCGGCGATGCAGGCAGGCTGGCGGCTGCTGTGCCTGTATCACGCGAAACACGATGGGTTTCCGGTGTACACACACACACTGCGTACGTAATACGTATATTTCGTGCCGCATAAACCGTGGTGCGTGTGGTGTACACTGTACGATTATTACGATTGCGCCCAGACATGTTTGCTGTCCGTAGCGTCGTAGTCGAAACTCGAAAGCACCACCGGCGCTAGTGGTTATAGCGCGTATTTATTGTTGATGTGTGTGCGTGTGACGCGGCTGAGCGAGTGAACGTCGTGTTTTACGCATTCGCACTCGCACGTTGACAGTAGTAGGTACCGCCGCGTTATTATTATTATTATTATTATTATCCCTAGTCCGTGTGTGTTTGTGCATGCTTGTGTGAGTGTACGTGTACGTGTGTTGTGTTCCTTGTACTCCTCAGATCACCGTTTAAAAAAACCACAACAATTTCGTGCTCTCCACGACGGTCACAAGAAAAACGTTTTTTTTTTTTTTGTCAAAATCGCCCGTTTCCCGAAATCAGAAAAGCGCCCGTCTACCCGCGTGAACCCGTCGCCGAGCTTTTTGTGATCCATCGACTCGGTCGCACGCGCACTCTCATTCTCCCGTCGTCTTCAACTTAGACGCATATTTCGTACCCACCGTGTCCTTTTAGCAGCCGTCGTCTCGTCCGCGATTCGCCGGTTCGCGTGTGTCGACGTAATATATAAATAATCATCACGACGGACGCCACCGACACCGGTATGGAGAAGAGAATTGAACTGGAGAAACGGGGCCGAAGCGCCGAAGAGGTAAAAAAATGAACGACTAGAAATTCTTGTCGAATAGATGTTTTTCAAATTCGTACTACGCGCGCGATCTCTTGCCGCCGTCCGGCGTGCTTGTGTGTGTGTGTGTGTGTGTGTGGCGTGTGCTCACTGCTGGCAGCGTGTTGAACTTGAACCGCGCGCAATCGATTGAAATGGTATCGACGAGAACACTTTTATTAACAATATAATTTCTTCCCGCTTAAATAATAATTACAAAACCTAATATAATATTTAGACTGAGGTACAAAGACTATTACAGCGTTATTGATCATTTTGTTTTCGAAATTATTAGTGGTTTGGTCGTTATTTAGCAATTACCAGATGTTTCTGGTCGAAAGAGTTGAATTCTACACTATTTGAAAATCGTGATTAACCGCTTTGTGGTCGCGTATACTTGTACGTAACGAGTAAGGAGTGACCTATGTTTTTGTATTGTGTATTATATTTATTTTTTATTATTATAAAACATAAATCGACGATGCGCCTCCGCCTCGGCGGTTTTAATTAAGCTATCGATATAACGACGAAAGCGATTGGACGGACAGGTGTCTATGTGTGTGTGTGTGTGCGTGTTGCGCCGTGCGCGGGCGCGCAAACGCCATCGAGTATTGGAGCAACGAGTCCGCGACTCACGGGTGACTGTAATGTGTACTTGCTACGTGCGCGTCGGCGCATGTGCTCGTGTAGTCGTATGATTTTGTGGGTGAGTGGTAAGGGGGTAATTTGGCCCGCGGCCATGTTTAAATTTTAAATACCTCGTCGCTGCTCTCAGCGTTTTTTCATCTAAAATACGTTTATTAAATCAATCTAATATTTAGAATTATTGCAAAATGAAAATAATATTCCACCTTTTTTTTTGGTACGCATATTATAATGATAATGCGGTGTATTATAATACATATGTGACATGAAACAATAACACAACAATATTATATTCCTATCCGCTTCACCTTATGCCTGTTCAGTTTTTACTGGCTGTTGCAACCTTATAGGCTAATAAATTTTCGTGAATACCATTATCTGCTGTCGTATTATGATTTATTGTCCGATGATAATTTTAAATAAATCATAATTGTTTGTATAAACTCACTTGAATTGTCAATCAATGTCTGAAGAACAAAGTCTAGGTATCAATAACTTGAGATACTTGCCCTTTTCAAATGGTCATTTTAACTCGGTTGCTTTGAACAAACTGAATAATATGTTTTGTTTCTTTTAATTTATTGGTTTTATAATTAATTATTTGAAAATGTTTAGGTAGGTTAAAAAGTTTCTAAAAACATTTCCTCTAGATGGTACTCTTAGGCTAAGATTTAATTGAATTTATCCTTTAAACGACCTAAAATTACTTATACAAATTGAACTAATTCATAACATAATAAAAATAATAATTTTTATTTGATGACCCAATAGTCTGAATTGGTGCTATGTAAAAACTGAATAAATTGTCCCATCTTATAACTTTTTATTATTGTGACTGTGTGTCTCCTCTATATCATTTAACCATTCTAACAATCATTGTTTTTCTTCACAAAGAGTACTCAACACTACAAAAAATTTCCTCTTTAGAGAAGGGTCTAAAAAATCCAATTAATTTTATCTAGACCTCACTAAAATAAATATGTACCATTTAATTATTGCTAGATTATGATTACTTTTTGTATTAAATGTTCCAAATATTTATTGTATTTACCTATACTTAGATTTTACTGTAACAATAAAAAATTTTATTCTTAATAAATTTTATGTTTTTTAATTTGTTTAGATAGACCAATTAATTTTGGATGATTGTCGTAGCACTGCAATAGTTGGTCTTACTGATGAATATGTTGGTTTGCGCAATCTTAGTATAATCAATGTTGGTTTAACAAGCTTAAAAGGTTTTCCAACATTGCCTTCACTCGTCTTTGTAAGTTATGCTACTGATTTAAAGATTTCTAATTGCCCATTGTTTTATCATTTTTATCATTTTTAGTTGGATGTCAGTGAAAATCGAATTTCTAATAGTCTTCAGAACCTCAGCGGTTGTTTGAATCTCAGATCATTGAATCTCAGCCAAAATAAATTGAAAGATATTGAATCGATTGATCCATTGGTAATATCAATAAACAAAAATTGTACCTATAACGTTTGGAATGTTAAATAAAATACTTTTATATATACATAATTTTTTTTTTTAGAAATCTCTAAAACATCTTAAATATTTGGATTTATCTAATAATGAAGTAACCAAAGAAGAAGGATACAAAGAATATGTCATAGAGTATTTTGCCAAAACAATTAAATGTTTAGATGGGTATGATTCGGTTATTATTAACCAGAGTTTTTATTATATTAGTTTTAAATATTTATAATTTTAGAGATAACTATTTCAATGGCAAACATGAATCTGCCAGTGACAGTGATGAAGATGGAGAAGATGGTTCAGAATCTGAAGGTAGAATCTTAAGAAATGCATAATATGTATTCATTAATAATATATGTATATTAAGATGGATAATTAATTATTTTAGCTGAAGAAGAAGGTGATGATGATGAAGATGATGATGATGATGATGACGATGACGACGATGATGATGACGATGATGATGATGCTGAAAAAGGAAATTCTTATAGTGACGAACAATCATCTGATCAAGAATATGAGAATGGAGAAGTAGGCTTAGAAGACTTGTTAAAAGACAATATTGATGAAGAAAGTGAAGGAAATGATTATGTATTAGATGAGGAAGATGGTGTAGATCAAGAATCTACTGATGAAAGTGATGATGATGAAGCTGATGATGCTACTGCAAATGGTGCGTATTTACTTTTGTATTAGCTAACTTAAGTTTGTCTTATCCAATATTTGTATAGGCATGAACAAATGTTTTCAAACAAGATCATAGATGGACAGAAATTAAATCAATATATATAAATATTTTTTATGAATATGGTGATATTTGTTTCTTTTTAATAATGATCTCACTTCGTTGCACAATAGGACTTTATTAATTTCCCCAATAATCAATTTTTAGTATATTAGTTGAGCGAATTGTATTATTATGTTTTGAAATATTATATTTTGTTGTATTTTGTGTTCATATAATGTTTCATTATTATTGTGTAGAATATATTTAAAATATTTATTCTATTAAATTTTGAAGTATATGTTAAAGTTTTAGTTATAATATTAATTTTAAAATTATATTGTAAGATCAATGGCTATAGGAAAATAAAATACAAAAGACTAAGAACAATATTTTATGTTTTCAAATTATTGAGTTTTAAAGTAATTTAGTTACATCACTATTATTTAATCATGGTATTCTAAAATAACCCCTTCGCATAATTTCGATTACATAAAACAAAGTTAAATCACTAAAAAATATTTATTTAACAATAAGGTATTTGTCATTAAACATTTCAATTATTTGAATAGCACTTGCTCTCATACGCTTTTCACATTAGGTATGTATAATAATAAAATCTGCACCAAATGCAGCCGCCTATACTTAACAATATCATAGTGTAATAAAATCAAATAAAATTAATATTTAAATATCTCATTAATATCATTTAATACTGTTTATTTAAGAACATTTAGCTAATATATTATGTTATTGTGCTATATTAATTATGTATTATGTTTTATATTTCAACTCATTATGTAATAATTGTAAAATTCTTTACTTATAATAAAAATTAATATTTACAGATTCACAAGATACTAGAGGGAAAAAAAGAAAACTTGATGAATAATGTTAAAAGTTTTTTATTACTGTTACGTGAAGTGGAACAAATTGTATGTAAATGTCCCACACTTATTTTTAAGTATCAACTTAAAACCTTTTTATTATTTTATTTGTAAATTGATTGTTTTAATAGACATATTATCATGTTGTGTACCACACAAATCATTTAACTTTTTTTGAACTTAATAATATTATACCATATTATTATTTTTTTTTTTGACATTGCTATGACTATGGATTTACCAAGTTTTTTCTTATTACTTAGATTGACTTTTTTTTTTTTACTTCAAAATTGTTTAGAGAATATTTTTTTACTCATATTTTTGAGCATTTGTGGAATATGTTAATACAACTTGATGTCCCTGTTGTAATTTAATTGTATTTGAAGACCAAATATTAAGTTATTTGTGTGTTTATAAATATATATATATATATATATTTTTATTTGTCACAATTAAGCTATTAACTATTATTATTATTATTATTATATTTAACTCTGAGTGACTGATTATTTTTGTTGTCAGTATGAATTTAAAAATTAAAATTCTCGAAGTAATAAGCTAATATAAGTAGAATTGTACAGGGTATAAGAATTATTGAGTATTTAAAAGTTAATAGTTTCTGGTTGGTGGAATAATTAAATTATACATTTATTAAATATTTTAACTATTGATAACTCTATATTCTTTCTTATTTTTTTTTTATTAAAAATTATCGTTTGTACTAATATATGATTATATATTATATTTAAAATAATTTAACTGTTTTAGTATACAATTTATATCCGTATCAAATTATATATAAAATGCTATATTTAGTAATTTTATTCAAAATTTTTGGAATATTAAAAATTATAGTTCATAACATTCAATAATGGTTTTCATTATCTGTCATTTTTTTTTAAAAAAATTTTTTTATTTCTGTATAGTGTATTTTAATAATAAGACTGCTGCATCATAAATAATTGTTAATAATTGTTTATTTTATTTATTATTATTGTTATTTATACCTCGATAATTGCATTCCATTAACTGGGCGTCTTAACAATTAGTGAATCTATATTTTGAACAATTTTATAAGATCTAATAATTTAAAGTAATATTTGAAAAGTGCATAGTATTCCACCACCCCAGTGTTAATACTATTTTATTATTTTTTTATGCTCTTTTTTTTCTTACACCCTATGTATGAATTATTCACATATTATGTATTAAAATCAAACAAATTATAATATTAAAGGAATGAGTGTTTTTGAATGTATATAAATATTTTTATAAAATATATCAGATGAAATATTATTTAATGTAATCTTATCATAAATTCTAACATTTGAATAACATAAGAAAATGTGTATTTTGTATAAAAAGCTCAATAATACAATTATATTTTAGTGAATTCACCTTTTGTTAACTCTACAACAACATATTAATAAAGAACCAATTCTTAAATGTTCATCACAAGTAGTGAATTAGTATAGTATAGTTGTTTATACATACTTGATATATTCCAAACAAAATGTATGGTGCAAAATGTTCCTTTATGATTTGGATATTGTAATAATGTTGATGTTATAAATTTGTGTTTCATGTATGATATTCACAATTTACTGACGCAACTGTTACTTGAAGTTTTTTAATGTTGTTTTGACACACAAAAAATTAAATTAATATATTTAATGAATTACTGTAATGTGAAAATTGGATGTTGTTAATTTTTAGAAGTATTTTGAAGAATAGTTGAGTATAATAATTTCAATTTGTAAATTGTATATGTTGTATAACAGTGTTTCCAAACCAAATTTTGATAACAATTATTTTTATGAGTCATAAGCATATTTATAATTTAACATAACTATAATTTATGTTATTGTATAAAGTCTGGCAGGAGATTCTAATAGTAGGCAACCAATTAAAAAGGTTGGGAAACACTGGTATAATAAAGAAAGCAATTATTAAGATAATTGTTTTTCTAGTAATAAGTTTATTTGATTTGTCTTATGTATGTTTATATATATATATTCATATACATAATTTAAATTTAAAATAATATTACAGAACTCCACTCTTAAAATAATTATTGTGTCATAACTTAAGTCTTAACAGCACTTCAAATTATTAGAATTTATTTTTAACTATCATGATTTTCACTTAATAGTTGATATTATGGATAAACCGTTTTGTTATTGTTATAAAGGTTTTGTTAAATTATTTTGGTAGAAATAAAGTAAAATCAACTGTTTATATTAGATAAAAATATATACATACATATTTATAAAACACTATTTTTTAATGCATTCAATTGTATATGTGTTAAGTATATTATTATTAAAATTATATTTATAAGACAATGTTTATTTTATATCATTGTTTAACTTCTTATTTATGTTATTTCTGTTTAACTTTGCTTCAAAATTGTAAAGTATTAATATTATATATATATATATATAAATGCTGTTTTTCAGCATAAAAAAAAAACTGTTGTATTAATTTAATTTTTTTTCAATAAAATTTGTTTTAAAAAAAAAATGTCAAATCAGCCCTGTGAGAATCTATGACTGAGAGAGGTTGTGATAGTATAAACTATTACTGTAATTAAATATAAATATAGTTGCTCGAACATTAGTCACTTAGTCGCATCATATAGTTGGTCTCGTGATATATATTAGATGGTAATAAAGCAGGGGTGTTGGGCTGGTCTGAGTTTAATATCTATGATGTAAACTAATGATTTAAAATATTTAGATTTACACAATGTTGTGTTCTTTTTTAATACAGGGACTTAATAAAAATCTTTAGAATTAATTTGTCATTTTTCATATTGAAAACTTTATTAACACTAATTTAACCTAGCCAAGTACTATACTCCCTATAAAAAACACCATGAGTTAAGTTAATTGGTGATATGAGTTCTTATTTTATTACTGTTGATTTATTTTTTGTGCCACTTCTCTGACTAGGCAATTATGTACAACAAATTTTATGAAACTTATAAAAAGTGATGATTTTTTTCAAAATACAAATGGAATTACACACATCCCTCCAGTTATAATTAAGTTCTACCAGGTAATAGTTCGTTTAATTTTAATATACATTAGTTTTATATAATTAAATTGCTTGAGTAAATTTTTTGTTATTATTAGGAATTCACATTTCTTGAGATTCTCCAAATTGTATTCCAATAGTAACTGATATTATACAACATTTTGTCAGTTACTTATTATAAAAAAATAAATAACTCAAAAATAAAAGAATGAATAATGTTTCAATTTACACTTAAAATATAATTGTTTGACTATTTTATAAGCATAAATCTACAATAAATATGCGATCACTCTAGTAGTTAGGCTATTGATTGAAAATTTAAATATTTACTATTGTATAGATTAATATTCTATCTAATTATTAATATCTATTATTATTCTACTAATAAATTCAGTACTGTACTATTGTAAAATATGTTTTTTAAAAACCAATACAAATTAATTTATTTAAAATAGATAGGTATATTTGAAAAACTGATAAATATAAATTTTATTTAAATAAAACAATAAGTATATACAAATACTTTGATTTTTCAATAATTACTACAATTTTAAAAAGTATGATTCAAAGAAAATTAAAATAATATTATATTACTGCCTCCAAAAAAACATTGATAAACAAGAACATTATTTCTTATAGCTGTAAAATCCTTCACCGGTCTTAACACCCAATTTTTTTTCATCAACTAATTTCTGTAAAGATGGTAATGGATTGAACAATGGATTGTCTGGGAATTTTTCATGCCATCCGTTTAAAATTGAATTGGTAGTATCATGACCAACATAATCTGCCAACTCAATAGGTCCCATTGGGTGTCCTGCACCTAACTTCATAGCTATGTCAATATCCCTAGGAGAAGCATCACCTCTCTCCAACATTCTAACTGATTCAGCCAGCAATGGAACTAGAAGTCTGTTGACTACAAATCCAGGAGTGTCTTTGCATGTAATAGCTGTTTTACCAATAGCTTTTGCCCAAGCCATTAATTGTTCGTAAGTTTCATCAGATGTTTCTGGAGTTCTGACAACTTCTAATAATTTCATCATTGGTACAGGATTAAAAAAATGTAACCCTGCAAATTTGTCCTTCCTCTTACAGACAGCTGCAATTTCACCAATAGACAAGGATGATGTATTGGAAGCAAAAATAGTCTTTGCTGGTGCTATGTCATCGATAGACTTGAAAAGTTTGTGCTTGATAGACAAGTTTTCAACAATGGCTTCTAACACCAAATCTGAATCTTGCACTACATCAGCTATTTTTGTGGAAGTACTAATTCTTGATAAAGTTTCTGAAACAAATTGCTCACCTTCTTGAGGTTTTTCTTTATAAACCTTTTTAGCGACTCTTTGTAAACTCTGTTGAATGCTCTTTTGAGTTTTGTCTAAAACTTCTTGATTGAGCTCAACAATTGTCACATTGTGACCAGTTTGAGCAGATACTTGAGCAATACCTGAGCCCATTAAACCACCTCCGACAACGGTGACATTTTTAATCGCTGCACGGGCAACAGAAGTTGAAAAATTACGAGAAATTACATTAAGACACGACATTTTTATAACTTTTGTAGTACTTTTTGTTATTACAGTATAAGATATTAAATATAAATGAACCCGGAAGAAGAAAACATTTACCTACTTTGCCATCGACGTTAACAAAGTTCAATAATATGTCATGTCATACTCCGCGTACTACAGCTGTGATTACGAGTTGCCCCTTCCATACATTTGATAATGATCACGTTTAATATCCTTCTGATCAGGTGATAACCACAATACTGCATATTTAATTGCCTACTTATTACTTATAAAGGGTTTTTTTTTTAAAGTTGTCTTTATATCATTTTTAAATTATTTTGTTTCAGTATGAACTACTTGTGAGAAATCTTGTATTGAATTTTCAAACTTTAAATTTAAAGACAAAAGCTTTTATACATTTTTAACTACAAAGCAGCTATTTAAAATTTTGTCAAAATTCTAACTTCAATATTCAAATGCATATAAAAAAATTGTGCCAATAATTTTTTACAGATATAAAGATAACTTTTGTGAGATCTTGTATTATATTTTTAAGAAATTTTACCTAACGAATATTATTTTATTGACAATTATAGAAAAAAAAGTCGTCTTGCATTCATTCCAATTTCTTAATTCTCATAGATAGCTTAAAAATACCAAGTTATAATATTTTGTTTTCCTCGATTACAAACAAAATTATCGGGAAATTTTAATTTTTTCCTCTTCAAAGTATAAACTAGATCCAATTTACTATTCAAAACCTCCCTCTATAGTCGATGTTTAAAATATTATTAAACATTATTAATAATTACTCGTGTTTATCTGCTAAAAATATCATAAATCATTGTAAAAATAGAACATTCATTACTATTCTCAAAATTTAAAATATTAAAACAAGGTACCTAGCTTGTTTAAAACACAATTAAATTAAGTACAGCTTAGGTCATACACATATTAAGGGTGTTAAGGATATCTCTTGGACATATTTTTTTTAGCTTACTAAATTATTGATAAAATGTAAATTTAATAATTTAATTTTCTAATGAAACAATATATTGAGACGCACATCAATAATTTAAAGACTAACTATAACAACACCCTTAGTTTTTACTTTATAGCTAAAGATAGGTTATTTGATTGAGGATGTCAGAAAATTGTTTTTAAATATTTAAAGTTTTTATCAGATAATACAAATATTTTTTATCAGTAAATACCGGTTTTGAATTATCACATCAAAGATGAATATAAAAAATAAATAAATAATCACAAAAACTACAGTCTCCAATATTTTGTATTTCATATTATAAAATATTTTTTTTAACTAATTTCCTTCTCTTTCTTATATTTATAAAGTATTTAAATCGTTTGTTAACTATATTTTTTTTTGAATTCTAGCAATTTAATTTAAAAACATCACAATGTCTGACAATGATCATAAAAGATGGAGTCATTTGAAGAAGATCTTGGAACGTTCCAGTCCGTTCTGTCATCCTGATTTTGAACCTGGCTCAGGCATATTAGAATTTCTACAAAATTCTTGTAAACTGCTCGTGGTCGGTGCTGGTGGATTAGGCTGTGAATTACTCAAGGACCTTGCAATGATGGGATTTGGTGACGTACATGTCATAGATATGGACACTATAGACTTGTCTAATCTGAACCGTCAGTTTCTGTTCCGCAAGAAAGATGTTAACAGTTCCAAAGCTGAAGTTGCAGCAAAATTTATTAACGAACGTGTGCCTACCTGCCGTGTTACACCTCATCATTGTAAAATTCAAGACATGAGCGAAGATTTTTACAGGGGCTTTCATTTTGTAGTGTGTGGTCTAGATTCTGTAGTTGCTCGTCGATGGATTAATGGAATGTTAATATCCTTGTTATCATACGATGAAAATCAGCAACTAGATAATTCCACTGTAATACCATTGATTGATGGTGGCACTGAAGGTTTTAAAGGCAATGTCCGTGTTATACTACCTGGAATTACACCATGCATTGATTGCACTCTAGACTTATTTCCACCACAGGTAATATATTTTTAATTATTATAATCCTATATTTTAATTTGATTATCACTAAAAATATAATCACTAGTTATTTAGTTACTACATTTATATGAGCAAAATGCAGTTGATTTTCAAGTAGGTAATTTGTTTCTTAATATATAAAGAGTTTATGGTAGTTTTATAATTTTTTTTCTGATGAAACAATCTTAAGTCTTTTCATTCTTCATAAGGCTAACAAAGAGTTAAGTATCAAAATTGTGTCCATAAACCTTGAAAAGATATTTTATATATTAAAGTAAGATATGGATACTATTTTATTTAACTGAATAAAGATGAAAAATTAAAATGTGATAATTAATTTTCAAAAGAATTTTAATTAAAAAAAAAAATATTTTTAGTTTAAAACAAAATATATTAATGAATATAAACAATTATTTGTGTGTATTTCATATAGTACAAATTTCAACTATTTTATCATTGCATAAAATGTATAAATACTAGTCCACACTAAAAAAAATTATTTATAATTCAGACAGTGGAGTTAGCCTATATTATTAAAGGTATATCTATACACATACTACTACTGATAATTAATTATTTTATTGCTAATCTTCTTAAATTTTGATGCATTCCTAACTTTGCATTATATTAATTAATGGGCTTTTGTGATATTCTTTTATGATAAATAACTATCAATATCTGTATTATGTTAATAAAATCTTATCAATGATTCAGCTTTTTAATTGAAAATATAAAATTATTATAATCATCAAGTTCATAATACTTCTATAGTTCTAAATTTTAAGAACAGGCTAGAACTTTATGGATTAATATATGAATGAATTAAAAAGAACAAAAACAGAGAGGATAAGTATTTTTTGAAATAGAAATAATAACTAAATATACTTACCTAGTGCTAAAATTTTTTAAGTTTAATTATGAACCAACAAAGGAAATTAGAGCAAGAGAAAAAAAATGAATATTAAATTTATCATTTAACTGAATTCTGAATATATTTGTTTTATTCTATAAATTCAAATGACAAATTTTTAAACTATAAAATCTCTAATTCTTATTATTGTAAATAAACATATTCTATTTATGTACATGCTTAAAAATATGTTGAATTTTTAAAAAGAAAACCAGCCAGGTAACCCAGGACGGTTACCTTGTTTTTTCAAATAGTCTTTATACATATCTTGACTAATTTTGCTTGATTTTTCGTCTTCAGAAGTACGTTTTTTAAATTCTTCTGTATGACACACATTAGGAAATTCAAATTCTTGATCTTTAGGCTAAAAAAATTAAAATCACATTAATACTAAGAACATAATTAAATGTATAGATTTTGTTTGAAAAAATTGCTTACCATTGTTACAAACGCTCGTCGGAAATCATCTTCTTTTACAATAGGTCCATATTTATTATAAATCGGTCTTTTCAGTTTACCTGTTAAATATTTCATAATAAACATATATTAGTATTAAAGAATTTTCCATATTAATAAATACTTTATTTAGATATTACCATTCTCAATATTCGATTCAATTTTAATAACTTTAATTTTATAAATTTTTGTTAAATAATTTTCTATATCATAATTTGTCATTCCGGTAGGTACCATAAATTGAACCACATTTTTTGGTTGTTTTTCTTCTGGTCGTACTAATTTCATCCAAAAATTAGGCAAAAAAATACGTAGTTGAGGATTGCCTCTTTGATAAATTGGATACCTACAATATTTTTTTTACTATTAAAAGGAATTTTTGTAAATCAAAGTTAGTATAAAAATAATATTTTGATTTTTTAAATTAAAACGTTTTACTCGTTTGATTATAAATTTACTTATTAATTACATTGTATACATACCATCTGGTAGACATTATATTGTTTTTTAAATATTGTAATGAATAATAATTATTTTATAACTTATATCATGCATCTAGTATTTTTATTATTTGCTATACAGTGTGGATTTGAATGATTTGATTAAGTTATACTAAATTTGTGGACTGATATCACAGACATAATAATATTATATTGTTTTCTATGCGTATAACCACGGTTTAAAATATATCTTCTTATGATATGAATTTCCATCTTTCATTGGTTAATAATCTGTGTATATTTGTAGTATTATATAATCTCCTTGAGCAGTGCTGTTATCTTTATCGCTAAGTGCGGGAATCTTAAATGTAATTTTTATATATCATTTCATTTTATAACAGGGTCAGGATTTTGTAGGTAAAATTATTAAATGTAGTTAAATATAGACCCATAGATCATTTATGTTGGATTTATATACAATGAATTTATTTGTTTGGGTTATGAATAGTCTCCCTCTCATAGACTATACACTCTGCATAAGTTCGATGCTTTATAGTATATTATTGAATTTATTGTATTAATTTATTAAAATATATCTCAATTACTAATATTGTGTTGACAATAAACTTATTCTATAAAAAAAAAGTTATTATCTTTTCATTTTTTTATGGTTACAATTTAAACTTAACTATTTGTTATTATTTAATATTGATCAATTATCAGATATCTAAAAATAATATATTAATTCTAATTTTGTTTGTAGGTGACTTATCCATTATGTACTATAGCAAGTACGCCTCGTTTACCCGAACATTGCATAGAGTATGTGAAATTAATACAATGGCCAAAAGAAAATCCATTTGATTCCAACATTGATACAGATGATCCAGTTCACATTAGTTGGATTTACGAGAAATCACTTGAACGCGCTGATCAATTTGGTATTTCAATTTTAAATTGATTACATCTTAGTAATTGATTATTAATCATACGGTATTTGTTTTTAAATTAGGAATAAATGGCGTTAACTATCGATTGGTCCAAGGTGTTATAAAAAATATAATACCAGCAGTAGCGTCAACAAATGCTGTCATAGCTGCAGCTTGTGTTACTGAAGCATTCAAAGTAGCCACCAGTTGTTGTCCATTATTAAATAATTATGCTGTATTCAATGATGCTGATGGTATATACACGTATACATATGAAGCCGAACGCAAACCGGATTGTATTACTTGTAGTCCATGTAAAGCCAAATATCTCGATGTTGATGATACAAATGTGCGGCTGGAAAAAATAATTGAAATACTTTGTGAACACCAGCAATATCAGATGAAAAATCCTGCACTTACTATGGAATTAGATGGAAAAAGGAAAACGCTGTACATGCCGAATGTGCCTTCCATCGAATTAAAAACTAGGCCAAATCTAAAAATGACACTTGAACAATTAGGTATTTCCGACGGATGTAAATTATTAGTTGCTGATATCACAAACCCTAGAGCTTTTGAAATTATCCTTAAAATTAAGAATAACTGTGTTAGTATGGAATAGTATACTTTTTTGAATATTTACTTTTATACAATTCTGCAATTTATATTTAAATAAAATTATAAACATTAAACTTTTCATTATATTATGTAATATGTTTGTCATTATTTCATATTAATTTAAATAATATACAAAGGTAATAATTAAGCAATCTAATTATAAAACATATGTTTTATATTAGAAAGTAAGCAAAAGTTATATTTTATATATTATTTTTATAAAAAAAAAAAAAAATTACTCATGATAATTTAATTAAACATTTTTTTTTTAATGTTTAACCTCGTGCATTCGACTATATTAAGATTCTAAAAACAATGTCTTGTAACATATCATTCAATTAAAAATATATTATGTAGTAGTTGTAGTACCCATTTGAACTTTGATTTATATATATATATATATATATAAATATTGTTAGAGTTACTAACCACTAGTTATTTTTTTCTTTTTATTGATTTTATTTTAAAAGCCCGACAACTAAGGGCATTAGCTGTGGAAATATTTTACTCATTACACTACAAGTTTCTTTTTTAAATTATTAATTTTAATTAAATATATAGTATTTTTATACTTCAAAAATACATCAACAGCTGATGATCGAGTTCACTTGATGTTTAGTATTATCGTATCATGTTTTATCATAACGAATTATGGTGAAGGGGTTAATAATCGTTCAAGATAACTATATAATACACACAGTATAAATTTATATCTAACTTATAAAATACATTTATTTTTGTAAAATTAATTTACGCTTATGGTTTGTTAAAAAGGTATTTAATTATTTTTTTTGAGCTTTTGGGTTGCGTTTGGGTCATATTTTACGCTTATGGGCTACAGCCAGGTTTGGTTAGTGGAGTTGGAACACGTGCGTTTGTGTGTGTGATGAATTCGTCACTAAGAACTTGGGCAGTCACCCATCCGACAACAATAGTGACGCCGGCCGATGATTGACTTCAGAACACATTAGTGACTGAGGCCAACCACTAGTTATTATATTTCAGTATACGAGTAATATGAATAGTATGATTAAATTAAATTAAGATTTAAGACAATTATTATTGCTCTAATATTATACATTTTCTATTTTTTATACATACAAAAATTATGAATTTAATTTCAGTATTTTATTTCGATAAAAATATTATAAATTTTTTTTGATTTTTTGATAAAATCATCAAAATATAAAGTATAAAAATTTAACTTTAATAACAATAATTATTAATTCATTTTATCTTATCCATTGATATTAAAATTCTAATTATCATTAGTCTTATCTAGTATTTTATCGATGAGTTTATATTCCTTGGTATATGATTGTATAATGTCATAATAATTGTCATGTTTAAATTATTGTTTGAAGAACTTCTAGAAATGTCAAATGATTGGCTTGATTAAATTTTTAAATAAGTATATCATTAAATTTACATCAAGTCATCAAAAATAAATAATACTTATAGTCATAGACTAAAGTATATTCTAAAATCCAACTGATCGGAAACACATATTCCAATTACGTAAATTAATGCATTATGGTATTAATAATTAATGTATTATAGCTCTTATGACTTTACAAAATGTAGATAATTTAAATTATATGATATGTCTTGCCTATATTTTCCATTTACTCACATGATCTAAATAGAAATATTCAATTACATTTGATGCATTTGAAGATTTAATTTCAAGGATGGAATAATGTCTATGGTTTGGGGGAAAATGTCCGTAGCGGTAAAAAATCAATTAGTGTTATAGTCAAATGACTCAAATAGGAAGAAGACGTTCGTCTAAAAAATTAAGTCGTTCAAGTTAATCTGAATTTTCATTTAAATCGTCTAATAAAATATTGCGAAAGGTATAAATTATTTTTAAACAGAAAGAAATTTGATAATTATTGCTTTACTGTATAGCACGATTGAATATATATATATTTAATTGTGCTGTATACAGTGAAGGTATTAACTTAATACCATTCAGTGTATTTTGTCATCGAGTAAGTGATTTTAATGTATGTGTTACATTTGAATTCAATAATAAAAGTTAAAACATTGCATTTGCATTGGTACGAAAAACGATTTCTATGCTAAAATTTTAATAATCAGTCGACATTTCTAAAGGTATTTTATTATACATTTTTATTGATATTTTAGTTTTTTTTCCATTAGTAATATACAATAGGTTGAACCAATTTTTCTAAGAACAAATTGAATACATTATTATTACTTACATTTTCACGATTTTAACGAATTTCGTCAAAATATAATTAGATAATTTTTCTACAGTATTATTTCCTGATGATCTGTTTGCCATTGTTTTTTCTTTTTGAGTAGAAACAATATTTAGACTTTCAACTTTACCCATAAAGTTTATAAGGTTTTTGATAACAAATGGGATCTAGTTAATTTATAGGAGGTCAAAATAAATAAAATACAACTTATCTAAAAAATAATCATGATAAAAAAAGAAATTTTACGCAAATTCGACTAGGATTAAAAAAGTTATACAAGATTCCTAATAGATAAGTTGTTATTGTAAGTTATAAAAAAAACACGGGCTGCAGTTTTTTCATAAACAGCTCAAATTTTGAACAAAATTTGTCAAAATTATAAAAATGTACAAAGAGTTTAGTAATTAAATATTTATGAAGTCTTCAATTTTTATAACTAAAGATTAAAAATGTTAAGCAAGATTTTTATAATTATTTCATACTATAAAGTCTATAGTATAGACTTTAACACATAATTATACATTTAAGTGACTTACATTCCAATGACGAGGTACACTCGACAGTCGACACCTATATTGTATCTAAAGTAGAACAGTAACTTATTTTTTTAAATAGCCTAAACATTTAATAAAAAATCTTAAGATATTTTATAATAATATCAATTTTTCTATATAGGTATTTAATACAATTATTATCATATATGGTCTAGGTCTATCATACATGTTTCTATAGTCATAGGTATTATGTGGTCTAATATATATTTTTATACTTAATTAAAAATAAATTCAGAATTATAGTAATTGTAATAATAAGTAATTCAATAATATGCGCCACAACTTAGTCCAAAATTAAAAAAAAATTTACATTAGGTACTTAAGAAAAATAATTATAAAAAAATATGTATTACAATAATTGCCAACATATGTTAATATGAATAAAAAATTAAAAAATACTATTATTTTTATTATTTACATCACTCATTAGGGCGTATATTATAATCTAACGTCTCTTAAAAAACATTCAAAAATCAAAAGTATTACAGCAGCATGAACTTAACTGTAACTGATTACAATCATGACTATTGTTAGACTCGGTTTTGTTATATTATTAATATAGAAGTCACATCTTTGAGATAAAGCTCAATCGTCACCGTCGCCGAATTGTTGGAAATGACCATAGATGAGTAGACAAGACGTGTACGGTGGATCGCGTGCAATAAGAATACCATTATAATGTTGTAATGTTCATGTATATCATTCACAAAATATGAACTTAAACGCGTTAGCAATTCCGTTTTTTCTGAACATTGTTGAAAATATACTGGTATTAACGGGTGATTGACTTACCTAGTAGGCACTAATGCACTATATATTATTATATTATTTGGTAATTGGTAGTATAATAAGTAATATTATAGCACAGTACCCTGAGAAAATTTGAAGTTGATTATTTTTATTAGTGGAATGGTGATTTGAAGGATAATCCAAGAAGTACAAATCGTCAATTTCATATAATTTTATTTGTCTATATAGCCAGACGGCACATATTTTTCACATTAAAAATTATAATATTTTGTAAACGAATCTACGGTTTTAAAGGAGCTATAAAAATAAATAGTCATATAATACAAAACAATTTACACGTATACATACAATGTGTAATATAAATAACAATGCGTCCGTTTATACGACAATATACAATGAATGCCACGTACAAAAGGTAAAAATAAAACAATTTTACAGTAAATATAATTATTATTAACTAGTACTGTTTATTTGTAAATGTAAGATTTGTATCATGATCGTTTCCGAGGGGATTCGATAAAAAAAAAAAAAAATCACTAGAACAAAACAATAAAGGACTAAAAAACCCGGTGCGTGGTATTCGATTGAAGCAATATGAAGACGAAACGTTACACTCAAGACACGAAGGCACATAGGCACGAATGTCCGCGCGAACATTATCGGAGAATCGAAGTGTACGCTGTTTTACAAAAGTCGTGTTTAACGCACGTCCGAAAAAGTTTCAACGGGTTGGGAGGGGTCAACACTTTTCCCCGAACGCGTTCCGTTATAATATTATACTCGAACTCGCTTGAACGTACGGACTACGAGTGTGCTTGTACAAAGTGCATTGTGGACGTTGTACAAGCGTAAGCTTAGTAAATAGTAATACGCGAATGATAGACTTAATTATTTTATAAGCACTTTATCATATACGGTCTCTGCGTAAGGTCCCATACAATAATAATATAACATTGTGCCTAATTATGCGCGTGTTTCCCGTGATTACGTACGAGAAACACACTTCACCGCTAATAAATAAGTAATTTTAAAATACCTACGATAAACTATATATTATGTACATATATACACACACATTAATAATAATAATAATAATAATATGTACAAAAGCGAAAAAAAAATGCATAAGTTCAATAATTTTTGGCATACGGTTCGGCCGGAGACATTTTTTTGGGTACCACGCGATAGACGCTTATTATCATGCCGCAGTCCTGAATGTCACGACGACTAACCGTTATATTGTTAAGCACGTGACGACGTTTAATGTACGTAAACAGGAAAAAAAATGAGCAAAAACCCACCTCTCTTCACGGCTTACTGTACGACAACGTCTCTAACTTAGTAAAATATTATATATATATATACAGTGGCGTATTTATGGTGGGAGTGGGAGTTTCCCCCAAAATATATGCAAAAAGAGCATACGTATATAATACAAGGACGATCTCAGAAAAAAATCGTAAGGGGGTGTATAGTCTTCAAAATTGCCGACTAAAATCATTTTGACCTTTATTTTTGCTATCTATGCGCCTCCCCCTCCCCCCAAAAAATAATATGTTTTTAAATATGCCACTTTATATATATCTATATATATTATATATACATACATAAATACAGTACAGAATAAATATTAATAATAAAAATGACAATCACAACAGTTGGCAAAATATGAACAATATAATATGATATCAAACGATAAAGGTATAAATAGGTATTGATTGTTTGTATGGAGTGCGAGGGCGGGGTCGGATCATCAGTGCGTGTCCATCCAACTGGCCGGTATCGCGTAGTCGGATATGGCGTACAGCAACCGCGGATACCAGTGTATGCCGTCGGCGGGCGGCGACGGGTCGACCGCGGGCCGCGACGGCGGCTCCGACGGCGCGTCGTGCAGCGGGTGGCCCAGCCGCCAGACGAGGCCGTACAGGGACGCCCGGGCCGCGGCCACCGCGCGGACGGGCAGGAACGCCAGGTGCGCCAACCACTGGCTGTCGATGACGGCGTAACACGAGGCCACGACGTCGTCCACGACCACGGTGCCGTCGACCGTGAGCGGCGCGTAAAGGCCCGCCTTCTCGGTGCGGCTGACGGCCACCACGCGCTCGGTGCGCAATCGCAGCTTGCCGCCGCCGCCTTTGACCACCGTCAGCAGCGTGTCGTTGACGCGCACGCTTTTCGCGTACACCGGGTTGGCGTGCCGGATCTGCGACCGTTCCGGTTTCTCCCACCGGAGCACCAGGTGCGTGGGCGTTGCCGTTATCGAATTGCCCGCGTCCGTCGCCAGCGTCACGTACTCGGTCCGAGCCGTCTCGCTCCGGTCCAGGAACAACAGGACCTCGCTGGGCCGGAGCATCCCGTCGTCGGACAGCGCCAGCACCGACTCGCCGACCCGGAGGTCCTTCATCCGCTTCTTCACGCCCGCGCCCGTCGTCACCACGCTGTCGCCCGGAAAACAGCCCATCGTCCTCGTGTTGATTTTCGTCTCTGCAAAACGCACACAATAATGTCACCGATTACTAAATAATGTTGCACTGCAGGGTACTGGATTTAGGCGGGTAGGCAAGTAATAGCTAGGTATAATATGTACTATGTATGTCGTGTATAAATATAAAATAGGTTAGAGGTGTCGGTCACGGTTGTTCCTCGCGGTTGAACGCGGTGATCGTTATTCGTATTCCATAGTGTACGCCGCCGTCGTTAAAGCCTCGTAAATCGCGCGATAACTAACGTGTAAATAATTATTATTGGCCTAAAACGTTACGACGATTACGTACAAAAAGAGCGTTGTCGAGTTTAGCTGTGCGGAATACCTCTATGGGTCGCAAATACTCGTATATACACACGCGATCCGTTTGAGCTTGGCGGTGATCGCGCGGTAAATTAGCGATTCAAACGAGTGAAAAATAATTGCTTATATGTTATATATATACAAGTATAATATATTGTTTGCCCACCCGGTGTATATTAATAGCTGTATACACACATGCGCGGGAACGAGAAGAGATCGTAGCCACTGATTTGTCTGGTTTTTAAACGCCATTAAAAAAAACACTAATAATAAAAAAAAAAAAAAAATGATTTGGAGTGGTAATAGTGGTGCTCTGTTTGTTTTTTTTCAAAAAACATCTCCGTTTCTCACTGCAGCCGTCGTGCGACCACGATAAATTAGTTAATGAGATAAAAAGGGCAATAATTCTTTTCCATCCGTGCGGCGTACACTCACTATTATATTATATACATTTAGGTGTATATATAAATATACCTCCATGTAGGTATATATCATACGTATACACCACGACCACGTTCACCTTCCACGGCTATGGCCATCGCACACCAACATCTGTGATCTAATCGCCCTCGGGACCTGCCGCTGCGGGTGAAGAAGTATACCGATACTAATAATATTAATAATAATAAAAATAATAGTAGTATTATGGTAGTAATAATAATAATAATGATATTGTTTAACGATATTCACTTCTGAGTTTCCGAAAAACCGGATTGTCGCCGTGACCGTAAACACGGCGTTCAGAGTAGTGGCTTGAAGAGGGACATCGAGTTTATACGACATTAAATGCGTGTTATTATAGTATAATATTATAATATATTATGCTGCGACGGATAGTTCACGGGTGCCCTGGGGGCCGGGGCAATAAACATAAAACGGACACTTGGGCGACGTGACGAGAGGGACGGATTTAGAAGATGAAACGTACATACTGGTCATACTGCAGCAACTGGTTGCGCGCGCGCGCGCTTGATGATACGACGTTGTTGAGAGGAGGCATTAAATATTATTTTTTACGAGTTTTCTCTTCTCCCGACCGACCGACGTCCGTTCATATAATATTAATAGAATGATACATTATTATATATATACAGTATACATACGTATTATACCTATACGTAATACACTGTAATACATACCTGCCTATGTTATCATATATTTACGTGCAATATTTATAAAACAAAAAAAAAAACACATTTCAACGTTTCCTTACTAGAAATTTTCTCATTCATAATACGTGCACAACAACTAAAATTTGTTTGCATGATTCGTATCTTCGAACTGAAAGACTTGTATAGGCACATGAGTAAAATACTGAAATATACATTCATGAAACACATGAACATATACCATCTACTATATGCGTATACTATTGTTTGACAAAGGTATAATTTTTTAAATTCTATTCGATCAAGTAATTCAGAGGCTTCTCTATCAGTACAAATTACAAACAGACCATGACCACTCCGTCGAGTATAAAATATGAACTTAAATGGGTCAGTTGACCTTCTGGGCCCCTTCCTGTACATGATATATTTTGATTCACCGCTCCCCGATTTGTAAACATATATCTACATAATGAGTTATATATATATAGGTATTTGATACTGATACGTCGTATATGAGATAATGCGTATTAATTCTTTCGATATGGCGTGCAGTTGTCTATTCGTATAAGGTACCTATATTATACACAAAAGTGACATTTTAAACGTCCTATGGCCCATATCTCCACATGTTTATGTAGGACCTATATACATGCAATGTATTCTTTAAAAACTAAACTGTTGAAGAAGGCGACGAGAGATATTACATTAAATAGTACTGTCTTGTGCATGTTTATTATTACAAGTAGATAGTAGATATTAGATACTACCATTGATTATAATTTATAAATACTAGTATTTGAAATCAATGGTACTATAGGTACTACATAATGATTTAGACGTTCTTGAATGTAAGAATGTAATTATATATTGAATTCCGGAATTGAATACCAATCAATGCATTACGAGGTCTTAATATTCATTATAGTATAGTTAAATAATATTATGTTGTTGTAATAAGATTTTCATCAGTGCATATATAGATTATTTTTGTGAAAAGTTTATGTACGTATATTATGTAAATTGTACATAATTTATAATATTATAATATGTTTATGTACCTCCGGTAACGTTATTTTGATTCATTAAAAATATTAATAATTTTCCGTGTATAATTATAACAGAAATATATTTGAATATTATATAAGTATATTACACATATATTTATATATATTACGTATAGGTTACGAGTTTCAACACAAAATATGTTTTAACATTGTGTATATAAAAAAGCACGTCTATTATTATTATAAAAACTATAGTTGTTAGTTTGTTACTAATTTACTATATAATAAATATACCAATACATTATATATTTTTTGTCATAAATAGTATATTAAAATGTAAAAGTGTGTATATCACCTACATTATTATTGACGATTATATACTTCAACAATAATTAGTTTTTTATTAACCAGATTATTTAGTTATATATAGATTATAGACATATAGATAGACACATTAAACATTTTCAATTTTCAGTGTTAACCACTTACAGTAACTGTAATTCATTTTTCCTCTAGTTAAAAATTTGAAATTTTATAAATCAACGGTATTTTCTTATGAATTTATGGTGTATTATCCACACTGTGTTCTATAAAGCTGCAATTATAGGTATAGTTTGCAACTTGCTAAATATAATTAATGGTTTTTTTTTTTTTTTTATGCACATATTATGGCATAACACATAGTATTATATGATAATGAACCGTGAACGTGTAGGCATTATTAAAATAGCTACTTTAAAATTACTGTAAAAATAAGAATATAACGTGTAGTATATCTAATAAAACATAAACAGTTGTTTTAGTTATCTTGAATAATATGTATCATTAGTAAAAACAACTGTGGAGCTGATAAACGAATATGAATGAATATAATGAGTGTTTACAAAATAAGCAATAATTTTTATTTGTTTTTTCTTTCAGTTTGTCGGAAAATACTTAACAGATGAAACAATAAATTAACCACACAGCTTGGCGGCCGAAACGTGTGTGTATATATATATATATATATATATATATTTATAGTATATTAGTGTATATTATCTTACCGACCTATAAATATATACCTACCTACCTACATTGTATTTAATATAATATAAGTGTTGTAGCAATAGTCATTATGAAGAGAAAATCCAATTTAAATATTTCTTTTGGAATTCTTGTCGAGATTATAATATTATTATAATATGTAGTACCTACATACCTATTATTTTTTTTCCCTTGTAAAATTGAAAATCGTGTAAATATTTATCTTTTGTACGGCGATCGAAATACGTGAAACATCACATAATAATAATAATAATAATAATAATAATAAATGTAATAACAATATTATAACATAACATAATGGAAACGCGTACCGCAGCAGTGCGGAATTCTGGTTTGGAATATTATATTGGGTAAAAGCATGCGTGAGCATATTGTGTGCAACTGCGTATAAGTGTGTGTGTGTGTGTGTGCGTGTAATCATGTGCACAGTATATATACGCGGTTGTGGAAATCCGCGAAAGGATGCATCAGATTGTTATTATATTATTATAATATTTATAAAGGGTAATAATATACGTGACGACAACCGGCGGGGAGGCGCGTAAAGGTATATAAATAAGTACCATATATGATGCTGTATATTATGAAATAAGCTTACAAATATTATGTACAATGCGCGGAGGTAGGTATATATGTGTGTGTGTGTGTGTTGTGTACAATATTGATGCCCATTCAAAACGCTGTTATTATGTACGCGTGTACGAATAAAGGTATATAAAATATGTATAAATATTATGTATATAAAATGCGATGGCGCATTGTGTATTTGTGTATGCGTACACGCCAGATAGGCAGTCAGAGCGGACTGCAGGCAGGTATGACTGTATGAGGTATATATATATATATGTAGGCAGAGGTTGGTGGATAGAGGTAGGTAGTTGCCTATATCGTCGTTATAATAACGTACGCGGAGCCCGGCGAATAATATAATACATTCATAGGCATAATATGTAAGGATTGTGTACAGGTACGCACCGCGAAGACGGTTTATTTATATACATTTATATATGTGTGTGTGTTATATATATCGCGTACGCTCGGCAATAGTGAACATATATATATATATATATATATATATATATATATATACCTATGTTAATATTATTATTGCGCGAGAACCTGCGTATACGTACGTACGTATATATGTATGTATGTATGTATGTATGTATGTATGTATGTATGTATGTATGTATGTATGTATGTATGTATGTATGTATGTACCTACATATAGCTGCAGTTATATACTTATCTACCAATGCGCGCGCGCGTGCAGTATATGCTATACGGGCAAACACGGAATAAAACGAAAAGGTTAATCGTATGCGTTGCATACACATATAATATATATATGTGTATACGTATATACGTGTATATTATGTATATATTTAAAGGCAGTAGGTACACACACGCTCACACGTCGTACGTATTATATATATATATATATAGGTACACGCGCGTTGGGTTTAACGAGTTGTGGGATTCTAGTTTTGGACAGGTCACGATCGCCTATTATTTGATGTTTGGAAAAAAATAAAG